ACCTCCTCGAAGGGATTATTGTCTTTCTCCATCCACGACACCCATGCCGGCATTCCGTATTGTAAATGCGGTCTAACGAAAGTACTGAAGATCCGCGAAAGCAGTTCGGGGGGCAAGACTATGGAGGTACGCCTGATCCAGTGTACGACGCTCATCGCCTTTTGAACGACCCTTTTAGAACGTTCAGAGGGCAGAAGGTTTGAAGCTGTCCAAATACCTAGATCTTTGTGACCATTCTATAATTAAGTCCACCTCAATAACTGAAATCAGAGAGCTTGATAGTGCTTCTCTGATATTCACTTTAAAATCAATGTAAATTCCCCTTATATTCAAATAATACCATTACTACTAAATCACCTATTATGGGTTGCTTACCTTTAGTGTCGATGGAAACTTTGAAGGCTCCTGGAAACCTAACATGGTCCTCTCTAGCAACGGTAATGTACTGTGGATCCCTCCAGCAATCTACAAAAGTTCCTGTCAAATCGACGTCCGCTACTTCCCTTTCGATCAGCAAACTTGTCAAATGAAACTAGGTAGTTGGACCTACAATAGCAGAGAGGTAAGTTGAGTACTTTGTAAATTTCTGACGCTGATATAGAAACTTTCATGAAATCAACAACACAAAAGTGTGCTTTAACACAAAATCGAGTACCTTAATAAGGAGGTTGGGTCAATCGACCTTACGATCGAAGGACCTCACAGTTGTCACAAGAATAAGTTCGGAGGGCTTCTGATTTCAATATCTTTGCAATTAAATTATTCCAATAAAGTGTAGGATGATCTTGGATCTAAGTCGCAAAAGACAAGATATCTATTTCGTTAAGCAATAGGACGATATTAAATTTTGTTTGGATTAGCGGGCTCACAGTAGCATGCTGGACTGCACTCTAACTGCATAAAAAAACACCGCAAATTTTGCAATTTGAAGAGTATTTACTTTCTTAGTGCTTGCCAAATGAGTATGTTCGGCGTAATCAGAAATGTTGGCAACATTACATGCAAAAGCGAGGGAAATCAAATGCTCAAAGCCAAAATTAACACAGCGATTACAATAAAAAAATAGGAAAACTGTGCTAACTTCCAAGACATTTTTGCGTCGACAGGGAATTTAGCTTTCGCTAAATTCACTCAAAATGGTGTTTTATGCGGTTGATTGATCACCATTCTAGTTCTTGCGGATCGTTCTGTCTTTTTCGAATTGTTGATTGCCGAACTTGTACAGATCTGCTGTTTCATAGAGCATGCATTACTTTCCACGAGCAGTGAAAAGAAGTCAGTTATATCAAAGGTTTAACTGTTGGATGTCAGGGCAGTGGAATCTGTGTAGTTCAAGCACGTTTATGTCCTAATACTTCCGTTTTTTAATCCACATTCTACAGGAAAACGTCGATGGGTATACGATTAGCCACCAGATATTTCATAATTTTCGTCTAGGAATAGAAGGATTTAAGGCTTGACGGCGTATTCTAAAAACTATTGAGGTCTCGGGTAAATATAATGATTTTTGCGACTACGGACTTATTTATTCATAGCTATTTCCGGTCGGACTGATTTTATCTTGTCCCTGTATCAGGAAGCCAGAAAGACATAAGAGAGAGAGGGCTGATTATAAGGAAGTTTGCGTCAGTACATTCAGTTTTGTAGGCAGTTAATTAACGCACGTCTCCTCTCATCCGGTGCAACGTTAATCTTCATTACTTACGACACACGAACGAGGCGTATAAAAGCAACCTTCTTTTATGAAAGTGATACACTGCAGCTAACTAGCCTTGTGGGAAGACAGACGTTAATGACAGACCGATCCACTGGTTAAAATTGATCCTTACACTGATTTATTGAGG